TTAAAAACAATTGTTGACTCTAATTGTGGTGAAAATATCTGTGAATATTTTGCATACATTTTATTTTTATAAGCACAAATATCATTATGATGTGGTTTTGCATATTCACAACCTGATCTCACTCTATCGGTTTCAGAGACAAGCATTGCCTTACCTCACAGTGCTTAGACTCAGCTCCGTTTTGCACACGGCTATAGCAGATGTCCCACTGAGGTTTTCAGTGGGCTTGATTTCTTGGGCCATAGCCACTTAGAGTTCACTTACCAGCACTTTTTACATACCTTTGACTCTAAGTGAGGAAGGGAAAAGAGCAACACAGACTTTCATTCCAGTTTCTCTGAATAAGAGAACCCTTGGCCAGAGTTTCAGTAGAAGCCCAGATTAAATTACTAAACTATCACGTGACTGATCTGTGACCTCGCTAAGACAGATGCTCAGCTTTAGAGCCAAATTTGCAACATTCTTCTTCTCGTCCCCTAGGCATCTTCAGCTAGTGGTTTCCAGTCTTCTTATTAAAATGATAAAATATCCAGTCAGCACCTAATATTGCTAAGCTGCCTTCTGTCAATTATGCATGCTGTTTTTTTCTCCTTTTTTTCTCCATAGCTTTTTTGGTTCGGCCTCGAACTCACAGAGATCCGCCTGCCTCTGCCTCCCGAGTGCTGGGATTAAAGGCGTGCGCCACCACTGCCCGGCCATGCATGCTGTTCTAAACACAGCCAAGAATAAGAAGTAAAAACAAAACAGGAAGATCAGAAGTTTTCACCTCTGGAAACATAGGCATCTAGATAGGGTTCTGAAACCTACATCAACAGCTCCACCAAACCTGAGGAGAATCAATACTTACGGAGTACTTTACCCAGCTCTGTTTTGTGGTCAGTCACTAGACGGGCCAACAATGGAAGAATTGTGTCAGAAAATGAGAATAAAGTCAAGCTGCATAGTTCTGAGAGAGAAGAGCTACACGTCTTAGCAGGGGCGCTGTGCTGAAGGAGGTAGGAAGAGGGCATTGTTTGCCCTAGAACTGGAGTTACAGACGGTTGCGAGCCATCATATAGGTGCTGGGAACTGGATCCAGGTCCTCTGAAAGAGCAGCCAGTGCTCTTAATCAGTGAGCCTCCATCTTAATGATTTTAGAATATGGAATTTAAGAAATAAGGCATCTGCTTTGCTTCTGGAAAAACTATTATTACTGTTATTTGCTTTGTTCTCTATTCTTCAGCTCTCAGGCTTGTTGTTAGTACATTCGTTCTTCGTGTGTATTTACTTGGAAGTTGTATTTGAGAAAATTCAGCAAAAACAATTTAAAAATAATCATTATATATTGTATTTGTACCTGATTCAACTGTATCACACCTCATCAGCAAATCTAAGGCAAATGGAAAGTAACTTTAAGTACATTGTTAGGAGGCTATTGAGACACGGGAATGAGAGACATCTGGAAGCAAAACAATAAGAGAAAACAGGAATGGAAGAAGTAGCAGGCCCTGCCTTCTACTTAGGCTCTACATACAAATGTTAATATGCTGTAGATTTGATTCCTACTACAGCATCCCTCGTGTATCGATACACTCCAAGAAAAATGGATATAGTTGAAATTTACCCAAGGTGAAATCTATGTTCGAGTCAGCTGACTATCTGGTGCAAGAATCTTAAAGTCACCAGTGTGGCAGTGGATGAGGGTCTTAAGGTAAAGTCACAGGAGAAAGTCTACATCCTAGATCAAGGATCACAGTTCATATGTCAGTGCAAACTGTATGTTTGAAGTTGAAGTCGGAAATAAGAAGTTGCAAAACATTAGCATGAGTACATTAAAATATCCAATGAATATGCTCGATGGGAAGGGATAAGAATTAGAGAAATAAGAAAAGGTAAGCAATCGCCCTGTTTAATGCATTCACTCCAGAAGTAATTAGTCAGTGTCCTGTTTTTCACATGGTGCTTCATTCTATGGAGATTATATCATGAAATAAAGACAAAAGAGTTATTTGTTACTTTAGACATGCATTCACACTGAATACATTGACATATCTGTACTGATTGTTATTTTAAAAAAATCCAGAGGCATTAAAGGTGTACATTTTTAAAAAGCCCTCTTTTAGGCTGTATCCTTATTATTTCTACTAGTGTAGATCAGTATATATCTATCTATTGATCCTTCCATTCAACCATCTATCCATCCATTCATTCAACCATCTATCCATCCGTCATCCAGCCAGCCAGCCAACCAACTATCCATCCATCATTCTTCCATTCATTGTTCCAACCATTGATCCATCATCCATCCATCCATCCATCCATCCATCCAACTATTGATCCATCATTCATCTATCCATCTATCCATACATTCAGCCACCTATCCATCCATCATCCATTCCTGAGTGCCTTTGACCCACCCACTCGTGTGACCTGGGACTGAAGAAGTGGCCGTTGTTACTTCAAGTCTCATTGGGACGTCTTGCAGCAGGTGAAGACAGCCTTGCAGAGCCTCAAGAAAAAAAGGACATGTCTCACGTATTGATCCTTGCCTTCAGTAGTATCCCCTGGTTGAGAGGAGTAGCCGCTCATTGCAGTGATATGAGGAGACTTTCTAGACAGGTTTGGTAGTTTGTGTCTATGTGGTGGGGGTTCCTGTGAACAGTGACCAGGGGTTTTTCTTTCCCCCTTCTTCACTTCCAGTCATGTTATCCAGCATAGCCCAAGCCCTACAAGCCACATCCAGTCTGTTCCAAACATCATTAGAGCTTGGAAGATGGAAGGGATTCTGGTTATTTCCAAATTGGTTTGCCTTTACTGATGGAGACATTTCGAGGGTCTGTTTTCCATATCAGAGAAGCGCGTTGCACAAAGGTTTGCAGACCAATAATTGATCATAATGCTATGCATGTGTTGTTGTGTATGGAATAATTATCCAATTAAGGTTTTACTTATTATGTTTACACATATATTATACACACACACATATATATATATATTTATGTCTCTGTAAAGCTATGCCATAGTATATATAATACATTTCTTTTCTATATACACATGTATGTATGTGAAATCAAATACACAGCTTCGGTTTCAGGAAAAACAAGAAACACCTTTTATTTATGTGTGGGTTTAATGCTGCCAAAACCCCCAGCTCACTTAGTTACCTAAAGAGGATGAAAGTCAAGACTCGGGAAGATTAATGTTTGACTGTTCCTCAGCTATCAGATATCACCTGATAACCCGTGCCTTTTGCACATGGCTCTGACATCTAATTATATCTTCCACCTGCTTTTCTCCCCAGCAGAAGAAGCTTGTCACACATTCACGTCAGAGCCGATTCTCCTCTGCCCTTCCTTCTTCCTGTCCTGTCTTTGTTTTCCTTCTGCCATTTTTTATTTAAGATCCTAGGGTCAATGGCCCCAAAGGCATGAATTCATTAGTGAGAAACCAACGATTTTGGTAGTGATGTCACATGAAAGACTAACTTTTTCTTAATACATTGTGGTATAGGGGGACAATACCACCTTTGTAATAAAAGAAAATCCAATATAATGAATTACCACAATGTAATTAGCAGGGTGAATAATCTCTGTAGTAGTATCTGATGCTCTGCTTAGCAGGACTGGAACTCCTTACTGCAAAGGAGAGAGGGAGGTGGGGGGGGACCTCTTTCAGCCAATGGCCTTTGAGAGGCTGGATGGACCAGGTTGGGCATGACTTTGGGTACCAAAAACCCTGCGGGAGCCCCAGCTCGGTTTCTTTCCCTTGCTGGCCACACCTAGATGTTGGATTCTGTTCCTGTTTCCTCATTGTGATCCGTGAATTACCTTTCAATAAAGAACACCTTAGTATACGCTATTCGGAGGTAGTGTGGGATCATTTGATTCGGACCCCACATCTGACACGTTCACCCTCGTGTGTGAGAGAGAGTGTTTGCACGCACGTGAGCATGTGTGTGTTCTCCCTCCAGCCCTCTCATCCTCTTTTCACCTAAGCCGTGTTTCTGTTGTTGTTGTTTTTTCAAGACAGGGTTTCTCTGTGTAACAGTCCTAGCTGTCTTGGAACTAGCTCTGGTAGACCAGGCTGGCCTTGAACTCACAGAGATCTGCCTGCTTCGGCCTCTGCCTCCGGACTGCTGGGATTAAAGGCGTGGACCACCCCTGCCCAGCTCCAAGTCGTGGTTTTGCATTAACCCTTGGCAGTATATTAATTATTTCAGCTCACATCTAAAGCTGTCTTTTGTGTGTGTTCGTCTCCAAGGGAAAGAAACAAGGCTTCTCTTCCTTTCTCATTCTCCTGTTTTCACCCTAAAAGCACCGCTGCCTATCCCCTACATTTGGGGAGAAAGCATCTCGAATGGGCTGCAAAGAACATTAGGAGAAAATGAACATTTGTCCCCTCCACAATCCCTCCAGGGTTCTAGGCTTTAGTTACTACCATGCTCTTCTTTAGAAAGAAGCACAACTTCTCTTTGTACCAGCAAACAGGGGTAGCACTTTTTTCCCTGTTTACGCCGTGTTTTGCTCAAGAACGGAGATGGCTACAGCGTGACTGGAACGAGTCTGAAGGACGACGGGTGATGAAGAGTTAGCGGCTTTTCCACTGCTTGGCGGCCGCATTCCCAGAATCCAGTCACGTGCCCTCCATCCTTGGAACACAGCTCTCCAGGGGGGCCTTTCCCTTGGAGCTGTCCTTCCTTTACCTCACACGGTCAGCACGTCCTCCCAAAGCCACGGTTGCACCTTTTACTTCCCCACAGAGCACCGTGTTTTCACAAATTAGAACGTTAGCATCTGTGTCTCTGTGTGTGTCTGTGTGTGCACACCTGCAAATAAATCTCCGTTTGTAAGAGAGGGGGATTGTTTTTAAAGAAAAGGAAAAAGAAACTGGAGCGTTTTGCATTTTTTTGGTGTTTTTTTTTCTTTTTGTATTTATGCAGAGCATTTTAGGGTTTCAGTCTCAACAAAACACTAGTAAAACAAAGAATCTAGTAAAATATTTGTGCATGTACTGCTAAACAATTCTAGCAATTTTATTAAGCAATACCTTTATTATTTTTTTTAATATTCTTAACAGACTGGAACAAAACATTTTATTCAAAACAAAATATGCATACTGTACGCATGTCGCAGGGCTAAGCATGATGCAGAGGGTAGAATCTGAACGAAAACAGGTGCCCCGGGGTGTTTAATAGCTCTAAAGTTAACAACTAAATTTTGTTCACTAAGAGGATCTTGTCTATGGATTTCCTTCGTCTCTCAGCCACACAGCAAACTTACCCGAAGTGCACTTCCCAAGTGTAGTTAGAGAATAGGAAGGAATGTGAAGTGTCTTTTTAAAATTATTTGTTTTGTTTGTTTGTTTTGTAAAAACAGCCCTTATTGACTTTTCCTTCCACTGGCCCTACTGTAAACCCATACAAGCCTTTTTAGAAAGCAAATTCATATACACTCAGCAGGTGAAATGTTCCCACAAAGGAAAAAGAAATACAAACAGTGATTGGACTTATTTTTCTCAGCCGCCTAGAGCTTGCTGGAGTGAGGACGCTTCGCACGGTAGTAAAAATGGCTGATCGGTTGATTGTTTTCAAAAGGAGCGTTTCCTCTGTGATAATGCAGCGCTGTATACATTTTATACCTGGAGGAAACTGGAACCCTATGCAGGGCGATACTGGGATAAAATGGTACATATTCTGTATACTAGATCCCTTCCACCACGATAAAGGAGGAACAGAAGTCTGGATTTGTGTTCTTGGTCTCTGCTCCCATCAGTTGGAGGCAAGCGCCCTGTGTTCAAGGAGGGGCTGCTTGCTGGCCGTGAGTCGTGGGCCGTGGACCACCGACTGCTCCTGTCTGCTCCACCAGGAAGAAAGAACTGGGGATGGGCACGGGAGCGACTTGGTTCACGGGAGCGTGTTTCACTCTGTTAGTGTGATTTTATTTTTTCCCCCACATAAAACCTGTAAGCTGCCTGACTCTCTGAATGCACTGTTGGATCATCCAGATGGACCCTAGGCCCTGGCTCCCTCTGCTCGGGCTTGTGCGCGACACACACCCACCATGCGAGACACAGACAGAAGCAAGCGGATGTTGTCTGCTTGGGGACAGAAGGCGAGGGCCAGCAGGGCCTGCAGGGCGTGGCGTCCATGGGTTGGAAGGAGGCTTAGGGATTTTTTTTTATTTTTTGTTTTTTTTTTGTCTTTTTTTTTGTCGATTTTTAATTCTTTTTTGTTGTTTTTTTGTTTGTTTTTGTTTTATGTTTTTTTGTTTTTGTTTTTTATTTTTTTGCTACACCGTGAGGTTATAGCGGTCATTCCTCTATTAGAAACTGACAGGACGCAGACAGAAGTATCTGATGGACACACAATGACTAGAAATAGATAGATAGACAGTGGAGAGACTTAAGTTCACCCACAAAGAAATGCTGCAGTAACAAGTGCAGAGAAATGAAATAAAATCAAATAAACGGAAAATAAATTCAAATCGAACTAAAAGAAAAGAAAGAAGAAAAAGAAACAACAACAACAACAACAACAACAAAATAAAAACCTCCAAACGTTAAAACACAGTGTATAAAATGGTGTGAGAAACTGAGTCACTGGCAGCCTCTTAGTCGGTAAAAAGCTGCAGCTGTGTCCTTGTTGGGAATCGGGCCCATCTTGTTGAATGTTACCCACAGGTCTTGCGGGAAGTCCGAGGGTAAAGCACCCGGGTGGGTTCAGTTCCCCGGGCAGCAGCGGGTGCACATCCCGGGTGGGTTACCAATGCTCTGCGCGCAAAAGCGTGCACCTGTCCAGCCCTGCGCCTTGCGCCTTGCGCTTGCGCCCCGTGCGTGCCCCTGCTGCGCTCAATCCTCCCGGGTGGAGTTGTCCTCGAGCGTGGGGAGGCCTCCCAGGCCCAGCCCGGTGGAGTTCTGCGCTGCGGAGGCCGTGAGCACGGTGTGAAGGAGGATGAGGACGAGAACACACAGCTTGAGCCGGGCAGGGCACAGTCTCGTGGCCGAGGACACTGTGAGCGACCTCCTGGCACAGGAGTCTCTTCTGTTCACGGTCCCTTTGGATGGGGGTGCAGATTGCTCCTCGTTCCTGATGTCACAGCATTCGGGTTCATCATTGGTTAGGAAGGTTTCGTAGAGCCCTGGGAGAGGAAGAGCAGAGAGGTTAGAGGCCAAGAATGTGGAGGAACGGAGGGGTGGGGTGGGGGAATGCAGGGGACAGTCTCATCCCAGGTGTCCTTCAGCCTTCAGGATTGTCCTCCCAAAGTGTGGTGAAGTGTACTTTGGGGTTCCCGCGTGGCAACAGGGTGTGCTGGGTGTTGGCAACATTCTCAGATTGACTATCAGAGCTTCTGGTTCCAGGTGGAACCACCAGAGTTTACTCAGCCACCATTCAACCCTCATCAGGAAGGCAGTCACTAACCTAATCCATGCACCAACACCAACAAGCCCTGCTGAGTGAAAGGGCTAATGGGTCAGATGCCAAGCCCTGAAAGACCTGTTTGCCCAGTTTCCCTCCGTGGACCTCATCCTGTCTGTGACCCTAAGAGACTAAGGGCATCTCCGCATCAAACCGGAAGCAGGTCCCCATTGGCTACACAGTGGATGACTCCAAGTCTTGTTGCTTTAGTAAGTTGGTGTGGACCCCCGCACTCAGAAGTTTCTGGCTCTTCCTATAGTATTTCCATCTATCCTGCAACCTGCATCTTCTAACCAACTGCTTTGATTTCCCCCGCTTCTTGTCTCTTCTAGCTGAGTTCTGATCCTTCCTCTGAAAACACACATCGCAATTTAATCCGCATTTTTGAAAATCTTAGACAAGAGAGGTGTCCCAGAATTGACTTTTTTTTTTTTCCACGTAAAGTGCTTAGCTCGGTGACTAACAAATATATTGATAATTTTGGTTAATGTTAATCCTAGTGATTAGTCAAGGTGTTTCACCGTTTCACCACGGCATTGCGCCCACCTTGTGGAATCCAAGGCATTTTCCTCACTGCTCTCCCAGCTCTATGCCCGGCAGACTCGGGAGCACTCGGTGTGAGCCAGGCTGCCCTCCCTTCCACTGATTTCCTCCATCTCATTTATCCCTCCAGAGGGGATGAGAGGTGATTCCTCGCTTGAGGTCACAGTGGCAATGGCTTACTCTTCAACACGGCCTTTCCCCGCCCCCCTTTCAATCACAGTTGCTCATTTTCATATCAACTTCCACACCCAGCTATCAACCTAAGAGCACGGACTGAACATCTGCACCTTTACTTCCCCACTGTATATCAGAATACCTCAACAAAGTAACACAGTTAATGAGCACTGGTTGTATAGGAAACTGTATATAGCACATATATTTGTTTAACGACAAAGACGCTTTTCAATAGATTAGGCTTCAATACGCGTATAGTGATGCTTACAATAGGGCATTTCTTCTTAGGCATTCAAAGGTAAACTTCACCTTCGCCTAGGAAGAATATGGAAAAAAAACTGAATTAATGAGATCTGCAGCTCCGACATTTTTATCGTATAATTTCTTTCTTATATCTCAGTGATAGACCAGTCACTTACTGAAGTATACACGGACCGTACCAGATTCGACAATGAAAAGAGGTTAAAGAGCAACACAAACAAGCCCCCTAAGATGGTTTGACCAGCACTTTAAAACACCAAGCGTTGAAACATTCTTCCCAATAAGAAAATAAGAAGTTCTCCCGATGTTACTCAGAAGTTGGGTTCTGATGTAAGCTAAAGCCATTATAGACAAAACAGCACTGTTAATGTGGGTCCATAAGCCCTTGTTTGGGATTTCCATACCTCTACTTTCTCTTTTGTCCTCTATCTTGACAATATCCCTGGGAGCCACGTACACCTTAAAGTTCCAATCACTCCATCCGACATTTTAGTGAAGGAGAACAGAATTCCTTAAGGAGAAATTCCAAGTGCTTGCTTCTCAAGGGCAACATTGGACATCTTCCAGACCCAGGAAAAAAGAAGCGGACCGAAGCCTTTGCTCCTACAGCCCTCTGCTTTCCCCAGAGGTATTTCTTTATGACCAGCCCTGCAGATTAGCTCTACACACACAGATTCATCTAAAGCAGATGTGCATGGGCCATCCTGGGAAAGACAATGGATCTCCACTGACGACTCCCACACTTGTGACTTAACCACCACTTGGACAATTAAACAGCATTCTTTTGCTGTTCGTTTGAGAAGAAAATATATGTGTTAGTAACACCTTTAATGAACAAATGCAATGATATTAATACAAGAGTAGCAATTGTGTGTTTTTATGGGGGATCAAGCAGCACTTCAATTTTCATATGTGTTGTACCAGGCTCAGATTAGGTCATTTGTCATTCCTTTATGGAAAATATTTCCAACCTGTTCTTCTAGCTTGTTGTTAGTTGGTAGCCACCGCACTGTACAGTTCCATACTAGGACATATTCCTGTTTGCAGTTTGGCACCCACTTATCATTTACCCTCCACCTGCACTGGGTGAGCACCGTTTTGCTCACAAGACCGACTCTGAGCCACACAGGAGCAACAATGCCTGTCTCCGGCACCAGGCTTATTTCAAAGAACATGATCATGTCTGCTTCTATCCACACTGTTGGAATGGCAGGATTTCCTTCCTTGCTTATGGGATGGTGTCCATGTGCACATCTATTCATACACATATTCAAATGTCTCACTCACATTCTCTAGTGAGTCCTCAGCTGGACCTTTGCCCTGTTGTTTCTTGGCTGCTGTGAAGAGTGTTCTGTGGATTTCTGACTGTGATGGCACTTTGGTTGACAGAACTTTCTGATTTCCAAATACTATTCTTAGGTACTGAGGGGGTTTGTTGTTTCATAGGATGCATGCCCAGCTTTATGAGGCTTTAAGTTTGAGCCCTAACAACCGTCTCCAAAGGAACATAAACCTTATTATATGGTTATCTTAGATATTATCTCAGCACAAGAAGGCCAGATATCTAGATGAAATCTTTATCCTCCATTATCTCTGACACCTACCATTTGAGATACTTGCATCTAGAAAGTTCAATTTTTGAATAGTTATAAAGACTTCAAAATAGTGGCTGAAAATTCCAATTGTAAAAGCCTAGAAAGTACTATAAAGAGAAACAATGTGAAATTAAATCTGACTCTACCCCCACTACCATCATCACCATCATTACACCATAATCATAATTATCATATCATAATCATCATCAAGACATCATCACATCATCACATTATTATCATGATGTCATCATCATAATTATCATATCAGCATCACATCATCATCACATGGCTATCATGACATCATCACCATGACATCATCATCACTAGATTATCATAATCACTCTCAGTATCGCATCATCATATCACCCATTATCATATCATCATCAAGACATCTTCATCACATCACAATCACCATCAAGACATCATCATAATATCATCACATGGTTATTATGACATCATCATCAAATTATAATAATCACTATCACCACATTATCATCATATCCTCATCATCACATCATCACCATCATGTCATTATTATCATCACATCATTAGTACATCATTATCACATCGTCATCATCACATCATCATCATCATCATATCATCATAACTGTGACATCATCACCATATCATCTTTGTCATCATCATCACATCAGTACATCATCATTATGTCATCATCACTACATTATTATCAATATCATCATCATAAAGGGGGAAAAGATACTACTGAACAATTTACATTTTAATGAAGGTAGAAACACACATAGAATGAATATTATTTGTAGATTTCATTTATAAAGCATTTGAATGAGCTCATGCTTTACATTTTCCTTCTGCATTTGATTTGATAGTGTTTCATATTTTGCATTTTTATTACAAGTAGGAGTAGACAGAGTATGTCTGATAATATGTAGCACAATGGTCATGGGTGTCTGCAGGGAAACAGCTTTTGCTTGACAGGGCTGTTGTACAGGCGAGCCCACAGTGGTGGGACTCAGGTGAGCTCACAGCGGTGGAACACAAGTGAACTCACAGCAGGTGGGACTCAGGTGAGCTCACAGCGGTGGAACACAAGTGAACTCACAGCAGGTAGGACTCAGGTGAGCTCACAGCGGTGGGACCTCCACAGTGTGAAGCCACTTTAGATCCCAGCACAGGGGGAGGTGAGGCTGGTGCAGTCCCACCCCATCTAAGGAGGATTGGCAACTGAGAGTTGCTGGGCTCAGCAGATCAGCCTGTGAGAGGCTGCCCCTGCTCCCGTGGATGGCCCCATACCCATGCCCACACTGGTCTCTAACCGAGCTCACTGGGTCTAAAAAAAACAGCACACAGGAAGTGAGTGACTCAGGAGTATGGGGCAAACAAGAGGGGAGGTAATTGGGATGAATTTAATAAAATTCTATCAAATCAAAATACATTATATTCATGTAGGAAATTCTCAAACAATAAAAATTTTAAAAAGAAGAACAAAATGGCTAATGTGGCAGAATTTCTAAACTTTATGAATATAATTTCTTAAAAGTATATTTCTGTCTTGTTTTTCTGATGATTGGTGCGTAGTGGGTGGTTTCTGTTGTTGGGACAGTCCCATTTGAATTGGCCTATGTTGTAGAAAGTTTTTATTTATGGGTTCCAAACTCTAAATTTACCCACATTGTTTCCTTGCTGTTCTGTTCTGCTGTCTTTCCTTGGTGAGACTTGAAGTGCTTCCTTAATTTTCATTGTGTTATTAGAGATGAACTCTAGCCCTTACTGTGTGTTATTCTTTTCATAATGCAGTAATTTCCGACTTGTGTTGTTTTAATATGTTTGATATATTTTAAGAAATACACTTGTCATTCATTCAAATTTCTATTTGTATTAAGTACAATGGTTTTTCCTGATGAAGTCTGGTCTTCACATGTGTGTCATGTGTCTTGTCACTGAACCCCTTTATCAGGTGTTAGCATGATCACATGATCTACAGTCATGGTTAGCATCTGTTTAGGTAAACTTTTGCCTGGCCAGAAAACTATCATCTGAGGAATATGTAGCTTATAAATGCTCCTGATTAGTTTTCTCTATATATTTTATGTACGCGTATATACTTATAAATATTGTAGTATGTTGGTCCTCTATGTATTTTTATGTCTTGTGAGCAGCTACAAAAATT